TCTCTCTCTCTCTCTCTCTCCCCCCTCTCTCTCTCTCTGTCTCCCTCTCTCTCTCTCTATCGCTCTCTTTCTCCAACGCAGCCTTACCCAACGTCGCCAGAGACCTGCGCAGGTCCGGGCGCCGAAGGGCGACGGGAGCCAGAAACGCACCAACGAGCGCTGCGCGGCTTTGGAAGCGGCGGAACGACCGCAGGAAGCGTCGGTCGCCGCGGCGTCGGGCGATAGCGCTTCGATCGCCCTAATAAACCTCCGCCAGTCGCGGCAGTCAGACCTCGGCCAACACCCGCGAACACTACACGGGGGGGGAAACGGTGCGCGACTCTCACAAGTGATTACACTGTTCGCTTCATAATCAATTAGAAAATTCCGACGAGAGCGATCATTTATTTATATTTTTCTCGGAGGGGTGAGTTATGTGCAGTTCGATAATTAATGCATTGGTTCGCTGTTCCACCGCCCGTCTGCTAAATAATGCAGGTCACTTGTTATCTGCGCCGCCTGCAAAATTCATCGAGACTCCCGCGCCGTCACCTTACCACCTTTAGCGTGCACTAAAAAGTGTAGTGACTGTATATTTGTGGGCCAGTCTTGTGTGGGCGCAATATTCCCCCGGAAAAGCATCCCCCCCACCCTCCAATCGACTGACAAGCGGGTACCTGCTCGCTGCTGAGTAAACAGAGGCGTGTGTGTGTGCGTGTGTCTGGGTGTGGGTGTGTGTGTGTGCGCGTGTGTGCACGCGTGTGCGGAGTGAGGAAACTCCTCCGAGGTTTCGTCCCGTGTGTATAATACCGCAGTGGCGGAATGTTAAAGAGCTCCGAGTCATCACAGCTCCCGTCTCCCACCCCCCGCCACCCCCCCAAACCCCCCACAACCCCACACACCACCCAAACCCCCCTCACCCCCACCCCACCCCCACACCCCCACACACACACATCCACGACACCACACAGACTGACGCATTGTGGTCACTCAGCCAGGAACGGGTTTTTTGGGGGTAATAATAATAATAATAAAAATAATCATAATAATTCCACCCGAAGCCGTGGAACTTTACTGCTGGGTGAACAGAGGCGTGTGTCTGTGTGCGTGTGTCTGTGTGTGTGTGCGCGTGTGTGTGCGTGTGCGTCGTGTGGTGTGCGTGTGCGGTGGGGTGGGGGAGTAAGGAAACTTGCCTAAGGTTTCGCCCCGACCTGACCCGCCCGGGAATCGAGGCGAGGGGCCCTAACCCTTGAGCTACGGGGACTCTAACAAATTCTCCTTCGCACCCCCACCCCGTCCCGTTCCCCCCGTTCCCCCCCAACCCCGAACTTCTTGTCCGGCCGCCTCCGGGTTACGTGAAAGGATTGCTCTGCCCTTGAGTTCCCAACCTCAGTCGGCGTTCCTCTGGTGAGAGGGAGTATATATCACGCACCGAATCACTGCGTGAGTCTGAAGGGTCTTGAGGGAGATGTTTGCAACAGCTATTAAGGGTCTCTAAGGCGTCGTCTGCCAACGTGTTTTACGGGGTGAAAAAATGAGATGATGCCTAACACGTTCCGCAACCCACTCCACGCTGACGCACTGGCGCGGGGTGGGGGGGGGGGGGGAGAGGGGGGGGGCGCGGGAAAATAACGTGCCATGCGATAATAACGTCACACCGAATTATTTCCGCGCCAATTGATCGTCATCTTAATCGTGTTGACGATAATCCCTGCGTTTGATCACGTCATTAGGACGTCTCAAAGCGCTGTAAACAGAGGCGCGGGTGTGTATGCGTGTGCGTGCGCGCGCGTGCGCGTGCGTGTGCGCGTGCGCGTGGGCGGGGAGTAAGCAAACCTTTCGCCCTGCCCCGGGAATCGAACCCAGGTCCTCCCGCTTGCGGGGAATCTAGATTTAACCTCTTAAGACTACGTCGTTAAAACCTCGGCGCCATTTCGAAAGGGAAGGGGAGTCTCGGAGACTCTCCCCCGGAGAGCCTCGGCCGACGATTCCCTGAATAAAATCGTTCATCCGACTCGAGGCTTTTTCTAACGACGACAATAATGATAACACGAATAATATTAATACATTTGGGACGTTGCTGCGCACAAATTAGCTGCCTCGTTCGCCTGCAAAGCGCACGGTCACCACACTTGAGGGCCAAGTCCTTTGAGCTGCTTTGCCGTTGCGATAAGGCAAAGAATATTACAATTAACATTAATATCCTCCCGTCTTGAGATGTATAAAATGCTGTCAAGAGTCTGAAAAGGCAGAGCAATATTGTAGGGCTCATCAGGACAGTCGGATCGCTTCCCTCCTCGGCACCGGCACGGGGTTACGAGGGAGTGAGGGGTGGGGTGGGGTGGGGGGGGTCCGGGTGAGGGGGGGGGGTTGAGGTCAGGCCAATGGACTCATTTAAATTGCGGCTCGATGCTGGGGTGGTGGGGAGGGGGGAGAGAAGGTTAACCAGGATTTTCTGGGCGATCAAGGCCTTCTCCATCGAACCGATCGCGCGATGCGGTGACGTCCTAATAACCGTTTGAGCGACAATAAATCCGCTCACATTTCCTCGTGTGCTTTCGGTGATGATGTGAAAAAATCCCTTTGGCGATGTACTCTCGAATGGAAATGCAGTGGTTTCTCCCTATGGGACCGCGGCTGAACCTCCGGATTGTGTCCTCTCAACCTTCTCTGCTCCTACATTCCCAGTTTTTCTCTCTCTCTTCGTCTCTCTCTCTCTCTCTCTTCATCTCTCTCTCTCTTCGTCTCTCTCTCTCTCTCGCGTGTGAGAGAGAGAGAGAAAGAGAGAGAGAGAAAGAAAAGGAGGGTGGACGAGAGAGAGAGAGAGAGGGAGAGGGAGACGTGTTGGTCAATCAATCTGTCCTGGGAGCGAGCAGTGCGTACGTGACCCCGGGCGTTGCGCGCGTTTAGCCGTGAAGTGCACTGCTATCTCTCTCCGCTCGCCTTTTCGTTAGCGGAAACCACTGGGGGCCTCGGGGTGAGGGGCTCCGACGCGATGCGCAGTGACAAGAGTTGCAGCTGATCGCCAGAGCTGCTCTGCGATATAATAGTGATAATAATAATAATAATAATACTCCCGGTGTTTGACACAGGCGCCCGATCACGTCTTCGAGGCCTCGCTACGCGCTACGCGCTGCGCGACCAAGTGGATTGACTCTGGGAGAAACGCGGCAGCCGA